AAAAAAAAAAGAAAAATAGCTAGAAAAAAGAAATCAAGCCCTAGACGTACGATGTATGGAAAATACTTACGGTTCGGGTGTGTGATAAGGGCTCTTGATATGACGGATGTACTGAGTGCTCTGAAACACCCTGAACGCGAGACTGGACAAAAAGTCCCTAGCGGTGAGCAATCCAGCCGCAGGTCTCAACGTGAACCCGGTGTTCCTCTTCAAGAATTCACTGACTTCCTGCAGTTGTGGTATACGATGAGGCTCGAAGATCTTTTCATCTTGCAGCTTCTTGAAGACTCTTCGATACTCCACGCAGGCATGCTTCGGTATCAAGTCGATGAGTGTGTTGAACACGCGCGACCAGGTCTCGTTCTCCGTCTCGGTGTAAGGGATGTTAGGCACCGGATCGCCGTACTTGTACGCGAAAGCAATCTCCGCGATCATCTTCCTACGAGCGCGATACTCCTTGTCCGCGAATCCAGGATGGCTCATGTCGAGGTCAGGCTCGTACTTGGTCATCAAATGGTTACAGTTGTCCAGTTCAGACGCGTGCCTTGGGAACCAGGGATCTTTGATGCTGACGGAATTGTCCGCGAGCAGGGTGACGCCGTCCAACGCGGAACTCTGACGGAGATTTCTGATCAACTGCAGCAAACTCTGCCTGGTCATGTCGACCTTGACGAGCACCTCGAACTGAAGTCCTTCCTTCTTCGATGGCCGAGACTCGACGTGGGTCACCGTCCCCTTGAAGTTCTCGATCGTCTTCAAGATCCTCGCTAACGAACTGATTCCCTCCCTCAAACGCAAAACGAGCGCCGCCTTCTTCACGATGTACTCGCTCTCCGGGCATTCCGCTATAGTCTTCGCGAGCACCACTTCTTCCTCGGTCAATCCAGCGTCTGAAGGAAATGACAGATTGTTTTCGTCAGGTGGAATCCTTCAAGTTTGTGTTGGAGTAAGATACGAATCGAATCTCTCGAGTTATTTGAAATCGAGTCTGTCCGACTCGACTTCTTTCTATAATTATTTAAGTACTTAAAATGGGACACGTGAGATTTAAATTTAAATAAAAAAAAATTCGGAATCGAACATTCTGAAACCCCTGGAGGGCTGTTTCTTCCAAAATGAAATCCCAAAGGCTACGTAAGAGACACACCTGGAAGTAATTAAGGCTTTTAGGATTTTTCTTCTTTTTTTTTTTTTTATCAGATTCAAGATCGAGCGATTCTTCAAGACCTGCGATATTTCGAGGCGCTAAGTGATTTTCTGCGCACTGTGTAATAATCGGGCAATTCAAAGTCCATTTCCGAGAAATGTCTCCCACTTTTATACGGGCTACGAGTTGCAGCTAGAAGTGTGGGGAATAGGGACAGAATAAAGTAGCTCTTATTGTCGCCCACGAACGTGCCGGGGACCCGGGCGTGCAAAGATGGAGACGGTAAAAAAGAAATAACTCTGTTATACATTTATCGTGGACGTACCGGGCTCGTTTCAGAAGTCGGGGGAAAGGGGTCTCTCCGTTAATA